ACACTTTTAAATCATTTGTATTGAAAATTAATTTCTTGATAGAAAATCTCTTAATATGTGCAATGAATACGGAGAGTTTACTTGAAAAAAAATACAAATTTAAAAAATAAAATACATTATATTTACAAGTAAAACAAACTCTTTACTGAATTTTATATTTAAAATTGGATTGGATGGATTACATTGTATATGAAAATCAACGAGGAGACGTACACCAAGAGGTTAAAAAGACATTTGTTTCGTTGGTGGTTTTTGTTGCCAACTGATATTTCTTTTTACTTGTTTGATGGACCGAATATGTTGGCGATTAAACAATTGTGGCTTTCAAAGCAAGCAATCCCTGAAAATTTAATTTTCTTTTAGTGTTTTATTATAGTTATTGCCAAAAGTGTATAGTCGATAGCCGTTATTAAATTAATAACCTTTAAAATGCCAAACACTTGATTGATATGGTTTAATAATACTCGCTCGTTCCCTCTGCTTCATAATACAAGTCATTTTACTCATTTATAGAAAAATAAAAGTCATTATAATTTTCCTCCTCGTTCATAACCTTATTTAATTTGAATAAAAATGAAAAAAAAAATTCCATTTGAAACGAGTTAACTACCTATTGGGTCTTCTTGCCTAACATTAAACACCTGTTTTAAATCTTTCTTAATTGTGAGATTACGAATTCAGCCCTCTATAACTGCAATGGACACAAGAGTTCCTTAGATGAGAAGGATACATGGCAAAATAACGATAACAACAACAACAACAATAATATCCCTGCCTATTCCCCTTAAACAAATGTTTCGTTATTAGAATGTTGTTAGTGGAAAAATTATTGAAACGTACTCTTGATTTGAACTAGTTAAGATGCAAATAATTATTGATCTTTGGTGACTTTTTAAGGTGCCATCTCATAAGTGTTTGTTTCCATAAATAAATACATGGTAGAGATTTAAACGCAAGGTTTTATATAATTAATTGATCAACATAACATAAGTTCATAACCGAAGAAGCATTTAGTTTGTTAACTTATAGCCTAAAAACTTGACGTCTCAAAAAATTGAAGAACATGTACAGTAGTTCCTAAAGAGGAACAAGAATAAGATAAAATAAAATTAAACTGACGATTAGGATTAAATTTCAATAGAAATAGCCCAGTCATGCATCAAAATCAAAACGACACTGTTTTGACTGTTCTAGTTTAGTAAATGGTCAAAACAAAGGCGATGCAGATGAAGAGGGTGAGTTAACATAAAGAAATCAAAAGCAATGATTCATTTTGTTAGGTCTTAATTCTTCTATTTTCTTATCTGATCCATAGCTAAAATTGAACATTTTGTAACACGATTAAGAAAAAAAATTAAAAAAAAAAGGAAATGGTCAAATAATTCTATTTTTAATTTCTGAAATTTGATCTCATTTTGGTATAGCTCTAATATGTGGAATTTGAAACCAGGTTTTCAGGGACTAAAAATCGTTGAACAAAACAAAATCAAGTCAAATTTCAAAAATCAAAATTAAAACAATGCTAGATTTCAGGAACTAAAGATGATATTAACTATAAAAAAAAAAAAGGCATTTCTTGTGGTTGAATTTGTATATACAATGAATATAAACAGCTAACAATATTCTATATATATAATGTGCATATATACATATATCTTGAACCTTGATGTATCAATGCGTATACCAACAGACAAGAAAAGGTACGTAAATGTTTGACTACTTGGGGGTATATATGGAGAGCCATTAAAGCAGAGAGCTTTATGATTGTGCAGCAGGCTCAGCAGAAGAAGGAGACGACGGGTCATAAGTAATTAAGAACATAAAATACGAAGAAAAGTAGCTTGTTGATGATTTGGTAGGAAGAGTGACATGGACCATGAGTATAGGCATTGCTAATTAAGGAGAGACAGATAGGACTCCTTTTCGAGGGAACTATTGAGTATTTTGTTCTTGTTGTCCCCTGGAAATCAATAATATTTGACCAAAACCACAGAAGAGCTAGCGTGGCAGGTTCTACAATATATGTTCACGAATCGGCCTTTATGGAATCTAACTAGAGCCGGTAATACGGGCTGGGCCCGCGGGCCCAGCCCGCCAGCCCGCCAAAAAAGGCGGGCTTGGGTTGATGTTTTCCCAGCCCGCCACGGTGCGGGCTACTCTAGCCCGCACCGCTTTTGGCCCGCTCCGCCGCGGGCTAACCCGCTGATTGGCGGGCCAGCCCGCCAGCCCGCTTTTTTTTTTTTTTACTTTTTCTGATTTTTAATACATTATATAATATAGTTAGATGATTTTGACCATTAAATTTCATATGGACATTACCTCATCCATATCATTATATATATAATTAATTAAGTACTTCATATATATGTATGGTTATATGAAGAGTACTATCCATTTTTTATTTTTATATCTATTTGTCGTTAGTATGCACGGCTTCATAAGATTAGATAAATATGTGATTTTCATATAGTCATACATACACACACATAAAAGATTTACTTAATTAATTTGGATAAGAAAACTAGTTAAATTAATTATTTATAAAAAATATATATGTTAGTTTTTCTTAAATTTCTTCTAATATTATAAATTAATTCTCTTTTTTTTATTAGGATCCATTACTCAAGTTTAAAACTCGGAGCCTAATTTCAACATTTTAAATTAGGCTTAACTCATACTAATATAATAAATTTAAAAAAGAAAAAATTTAGGCGGGCTGGCGGGCTGGCCCGCCAATCCGCCTTGGCGGGTTCGGGCTGGCAAAATGCCAGCCCGCCAAGGTGCGGGCTACTTCAGCCCGCACCGCATTTGGCCTGCACCGCGGCGGGCTGGCCCGTATCCGCACCGCCAGTCCGCTTTCCCAGGTCTAAATCTAACTAGCTAGCTAAGCTCTACAATATGACAGCATTTGAGAGTCATGGGGTTTTGTTGGAGTGGTTGAACTCTTTCACGAGCTTCCAAGCCCAAGTTCCATTTATTCAACCTTTTATTATTATTAGTTTATTACCCGTGTTTTGAAAGCTACTCTCCTACGACTGTATTTTAATGGCATAACTTCACTATAGCTATAAAAATTGAAATTACTTTTTAATTTATGCCTTACCCTCCATCAAATATATGTGTGTGAGAGGGTGTGTACGTATACTCCATTTGGTTCTTATTATAAAGCACTTTTAATTAACTCATCGAAATCAAGAAGATGAGAGGTGAGAATTGAACATGATAAAATTTCAAGTTTACTCTGTTTAAATATATATGTATATATTCGGGGAGTCACAGAAGGCAACGGACATATTTACCACAAGTTTCAAATTTTGCTCTATCATCTCACACATTTCTAACTTAAATGTTGCCAGGACCTAAGGACCATGGGACCAAAAGGGTTGTCACATATATATCTTATTGCTTTGACAGCAATAGGTATTGTCAGTTTGTTGGAAAAAGGGTTTTCGCGGTGATGGCATATAATTGGGAAAACTAAACTTTGACAATTATTCACCTTCATTGTCACATGGTTTCATTTTGAAAAAAAGGATTGATTCTTACACTTCAATTTCCATACTTTTTGGAAAACAAAAATTGATTGATATGGAATCACATACATACCATAGAGTTATTAATTAAGCTAGTTCGATACTTTTTTATTACCCCATTATATCTCAGGATATTACCTTTGGTCTTAATTATAAGACCTTATTTATTGTCTACAAACGAGTTCTTATAATCAAGACTAAAAGTAATACATAAAAGTATCAATCCCAACAACAAAAATTATCTCCCTAAGAATAAGAAGGGCAAACGATAAATCCCTACTAACTATACGTACTCAATAAGCATTAAAAATAATTACTTTTGTTCTTACATAATTGTCATTTTAAAATTTTAATAATGAATTAATTAATTGTTTTTATCATTTTACTACCATTCAGTAATAAAAACAACGATGGAAGCCATTGCCACCATGTATTAATAGCATTTTTAATCTATGCATACAATCACTTTAAGATAGACGTGTTATGTACGTAATAATTAAACATATAAAAAAATTATATTTAAATATAATTTTATTTAAGAACACACTTTGCTTTTCGTAGGTGACGTGGCTGTCGGGTGGAATGAATTGAAGCTTAGAAAAGGATGCCACATTATTTTTGTTTTAATATGGAGTTTATGGTCTATTAAGCATCGGCATCAATAATAATATTCAGATGTAATAATTAACCCTGCATGCAGATATTTTGACTCCGATCCTTAGCATAATTACATAATACCAAAGTTAAGTAATAATTTGATTTCTTCTTTTAGTTTTTGAAATTCATCACTTTAGTTTCGTCTTGATCTAAAGAACTTATGTGAATCGAATATTCTTTGCAAACTTTTAAAAGGGATTTTTCCATATTAGAATTGTTTTTTCCCTCCTAATCTTGTGAGTTAACTCTACCTATTAAAAAAAAAAAATCATCTCATAACAGGATCGCAAATTCAGGTTTCTTTGGGATTTGAAATTTTCCTTTCTCTTGTAATACCACAAAAAAATTGACGATGAAGAGCTGAATATTTAAGCCATAGACTAAATAGGAAACCAAAACAATGTGATAATTAATTTAGAACTTTGAATTGTACATCACAACACTAAGATACTGATTTTTTTCTTTGATACCAAACCACGCGATATTTAAAAGTCCAGTAGCGTTGGATTCTCGTAAAGTCGAGTTGAAAAAGACTACCATAAGGATAACAAAGTTTCACCATTGGATATTAATTGTCATTACCATCTTTTGTTGTTATACTACGAATGTTTAAAGTTCAAATTACCCCCATCTCACATATACCTCACTTTCACCATCAATTTGAACTATTTTCGGATATCTATATGTTATCTATAATTTTCCAAAAAAAAATTACAACAAGTTGATGACCACAACATATCGTTAGGCTACAAGACCCCTTTGACCTTACCCGATGAGAGAAAATTAGAAGAGAATACAGCAAGAAATAAATTGACAAGAAGATATATAAATACATAAGAAGGTATTAGAAACCCTTTTCATTGTATAACGCTGCTTCATATACACACCAGTTGAAAGTGTATTCTTGTACGTACAATTGCAATTGGACAGCATCTCTGTGTATATAATATTCCTGTTTATTCTGCTCCGTATATATACTCCCACAAATTCAACTTTCCTCGTACGTACAATTTCAAACATACAAATTAACATATATTCGTATGTATGCCTTATTCTGCTTCCTTATAGTTTCCAAATTTCACACCCCGTCCTGTTTCTTGTCATAACTGATATAATTAACCTCCTCGCCTTAGAGCTACCTATATATATATATATATATATATATAAAATATAAACCTATATGCATATATAGCAATTAATTAATATTCATATAAGAAATTAATCATCACCCACCTTTTTGTTCTTGTCCCAAACACCATAATGTCAAAAGAGAAAGCCTTCAGCATAAGCATGGTTATGGTCCTCTTCAACCATATCGTGAAATGAAGGTCCTGGAGGACTTGGACAGTTTCTGTTAAGAAGTTCTTCGATCATTTGCAGTGCTATTCTTTCTTCCTCGTTCATCCCTCCTCCTCCTCCTTCCATGACCACTTCATTTCCTTCTGAGGTTGCACGCTCATCGCACGTCCACGGCGACGTCGTTTTCTCCGCTTCATTACTGTTGCTGTTGCTATTGGTCTTCTTTCCCAGCTCCACTGTCATCACCCAGTTGGAGCTATCAGTACGCTGGCCGGCACGTTTCTGCCACACTCCGATATTGGAGTTCTCGGTGTCCAGCCTCAGGCAAGTCATGGACGGCGACGGAAGCTTCCCGCATTTCCTCAGCTTCGCGCGCAGAATCTCTTCCAGATCCCTCGCCGCCCCTGCCTTGCTATGATCGGTGGCCGAGGCCGCCACAGCCGCCTTTGGATCACCGTCCGGAGTCTGGGTTATCGGGAAATTGGTCTTAGCATTCCGACCACTCATCAAAATGGCAGCTTGATCGTACGCTCGCGCCGCTTCTTCCGCCGTCTCAAATGTCCCCAGCCACACCCTCCTCTTCCTGTTCCACAAAATCACAACATTCAAATAAAACGAATAGCAGGACCAGTAAATGCACACACACACACCTACGTATATATGAAATGAAAATGCGTACTGAGAGTGTGATTTGATTATAATTTAGATGGATGGGAAGAGAGAGAGAGAAAGTAAAGGAGAATAGTACAGGAGCGGGTGGCGAATTTCGGAGACCCAGGAGCCCCAGTGACGCTGTCTGACGCCTCTGAACTTCTTTGAATGCACCATGATGATGATATGAGGAAGAAGATACGAATGTGGGGAGAGACGATAAGAGAGGAAAGTACAGAAGGAACAGAGAGGGGGGAAATATGGGGGAAGATTATAAAGAGAAGAGGCACAGTGTCGGCGAACTGCGAGATTAATGGTACCGAGGGGCATTAAAAATGGTCACCTAAATCCTCATAATATATAAACCAGTACAATTTCATTTATTGTTATCGCTTGACTTGTTTCTTCCCCATCTCACTTTCTCCCCCCAAGCAATTGCCTCTACAGTTAACTTTCTATTATTATCTTCCTCCTGCTTCTTTCCCATTATTGCCATCTCTTTAAATTCCATCATCTCTAAAGTAGGTGACTTTGCCACAAATGTAGCAGCACTGTGTTTATTACTGTCATACTCCTCTAGTCCTATTTATAGGATAGAGAGAGAAGGTTTTTTTTTGTCCTATTTATAAGTCATTTCATTAACTTTTCAGTGTGAATGTATTATTTTGTCCTTCATTTATTATAGTATAAATAGTTATCTTTTTTGAAAGAAATATATATTAAATAGGGGTAAAGTTAGAAAGTTGCTATATTTTAATGGAGAGTTAATGCAGTTTAAAGTTTTCCTTGGTCTGTGTGAAACATGTTGGAAGTGCCTTATAAATAGGACCAGAGGAGTATGTTCTTTCTTTTCTGCTATAAAGATTCAGACTTGTATATGCATGCAACGTTTCTGCTTGTACATCAATTAATTTCCCTGTAAATTTCAGTTATTACCGGACTTATTTGAAGAATTACTACTACTACATGTTTGGATTTCAATTCGGAAATTCAAATTATTTGATATTCTACCTTTTAACTATATATATTTGAATGCGCTGAAACTCTGGTTTTATAACCTCAATTTGTCTTTTACAGGTAGTTAAGCACAGCGATAACGGCGTGTGTGATGCATATGTATAAATTTATATTAGGGGTTTTGTCCCACTGATCATGTCCTGTCATTATTTCAGACCAAATTTGGTTCAGAACGGGGAGCGAGGCTCAAAACCAGGGAAGTAATAAAACACAAATGGATGGCAAGGAGTGAACAACATTTCATCTTAATTCAAAATCTAAAGACTCAAATAATTGATATTTTTTATGGATCGAATAACATAACTTTCTTAATCTCTTAAATTAGTTTATCAACTCAAACCCACCGATCATATGAGACTTGGAAGAAGCCATTTTTTTTTATGCATTTCTTAGTTTTTTTAGCCAATTTAGCATCATTAATATATATAGGACACCCAGATAATCTTGAATTATAATATATTAAAGTTATCTCGTACTTGAGAAGCCAAATGAAGCCCTGTATGAATTGAGAACACAACACTAATCCATATAAATCATGACACGTTGATGTCTTTGTAAGTCATTGGAAGTTACAACCAATAATTGCTGCATGTGTAACTAAATTGCCTTGTAATTAAAATGGCCATTTCGTAAAATTAAAATTGGGTTCAAAGGACCGACTTGATATGGAAGAGAAATTAAAGGAGAAGAGTTAGTTGAAGTGACAGCGCCAACATATCCAATGAAGAAAGACAGCGTTGAACTACGATGTAACATGTTGAAACTGATGTTGTCATTATTGGAAACTGGTGAACCTGCCCTCCCGTGAGCCCAACCTATGACCCTCACATTCTGTCCTCTCTTTCTTTTTCCTCATTTTTTGGGCACTCCCTGTGCATTCCTCACTCCACACAAAAGAAGAGGAGGTCGAAACACCAAATCCCTCCATCCAACAAAGTTTTGGCAGCCAAATTCGCTTCTTTAGCTCCAATCACAAGAGAAATTTCCTGATCAAATTTCTTCAGACACAACAAATTCTCAAGGAGAACATGACATCTCTAGTCGGGGACCAAGGCTTGTTGATGCAACAAGCATCCGCCATTGTCATTTGAAAGTAAGACGTGACTTTACATTAATCATTCTTTATAGAGATAATTTTTTTTAGAATTTCAATATACATATGTTTGATAGCCGTCCAATAATACAAATTCAGGGTATATGGAGTTGGGGGATATTAACGCACGATGACCCGTATAACTTGAAAGGTGTTGGCTACATACATGTGTAAACACGGCGTTAGTTGGACCATTTAAAAGGAAGAGTTAAGAATATTGAGAGGGTGCAAATATGTAGGACACAGATCCCTCAATATGAGGGGGTGGTCCGCTACCTCAATCTACATTGGGTTAAGGAAAGGTCACTGTGAAGGAGTGGAGCTGCCAGCTTTCCAAGTCACTTCATCTCTTTAATGCAGACATCAACCACTCCTTCTTCCCCCCTTCCTCCTCTATAGGCTTCAGTTTCACACGTTCATTTCTCTTATTGTCCTCTTGTGTTTATGACCCATTTTCCATCTGGATTTTGAACATTGAATGAACAAGACACTGCCACCACTACGTACTTTGATTCGCTCTGCGTGTGTGAGACAGAGAACAGGGTTTAAATATGAATATGAGTCAGAGAAATTGCAGCTTTTGTGTGTGATCAAGTACTCATGGATCGAGCAAGAAAACTCCCCCAAGAAAAGTGGCAAAATCAAATAATACTTTTGCATTTGCAGCACATATGCCTTGTTTTTGATGAAGAGTGTGGGAACTTTTAGTTATAGGTAGTTAAGTTGGTACTTTTTCAAGTATGGGTCACCCACGTGTAAAAAAAGTAGTAATAATTATTATTCTTAAATGCACAATTATCATGGTATTTTTTTTTATTTGGTTTAACAAAATATGCTACTCCCTCCTGATCCTTTTTATAAACCTAAATTTTTGTTATTAAGTTTAACCTTTTTTATTTAATTAAGGGTCTTCCTTTTCAAGGTTTAAAATACAAAGGCTTCCGTCTTTTTCAATAAGTGTATTTTTAAAAATTCAAATATGGATTCTTTTTCTTAAGAAGGTTAGGCCACTTATCACCTCAGCCAATAGCTTGTTAATAAGTTTAGTCTATTTTTCTTAGTTAACGCATTTTTTTTCATTTTAATTCCTAATTAATTACACATTTATCTCATTTCTTTTTTTTTTTCCTCCTCATTCTCTCTTTTTTTAATTCATTCTCTCCCCCACTCACACTCTTCTTAAATAAGGGTTTTTGAGAAAATAAATTACATCTTTTACATATTTATTATTTTAACTAACTTTTTGTTTGCATAATTTAGTTATTTAAAATTTATTAAAAAAAAAAAGATCGAAGGGAACATATGCTACCTCCACTCTTAAGTATTATAAGGTAAACTTTACTAATTTCACGCATCTAGAGTGATACTTCTCTGATCATATCAATAAATAATTTTTAATAGATTTTATCAAAATCAAGAAAAATTTGAATCTCACTATCGATTTCTTAAAATGTAATACCTTTTCAACTGTACTTTCTATTTAAATATACATCTTTTACAACACAAATAATTTTCTCTCTCACTAAACCTAGGGAAATTTATTACTTTCTCTAGTTCTTTTTATAAGAGCCTGATAACTAAATTACGTAATTTAAGAAAATAATTAAACTTAGTTAAAAATAATAAATATGTAAAAAATAAATTTTTTCCAATCATGCCCTTATTTATAAGGGGCAAGAGGAAAAAATTTGAAAGAGAATATAGTAAACCTTTTAATTAATGCAATACAGAAAATTAATAAGGGACAAAAATGATAAAAACATATTAAATATCTAGACAATCATGAGTGACATTTTATAAAAAGGACAAAGGTAATTCAAATTTCAGATTCCTATTCATATTTCACGTTTTTTGATGATGGTTTGAAAAGTAAGCAGCAGACAAGGTTTGGAAAGAAATAAAATCCACCTGAAAAGGAGGAAAACATCGAGGAAGCACGTATATTAATTAACAATTAATAAATAATAATGAGATGTTAAATGGGGAGACTTGTGGCTTAAAACAATTTTGAAGCTGTCAATTTATGTGGAGGTTTGATTGATATGATGATTATTCAATGACGACATGACTAAGTAGCAATGAACGTGGAAGGAGTTAGGGGCCTTAATGCCAAAGACCTTTTACGAGTAACATGACGATGTGGCCTCACATTATTCTCTATATTTCCATGTAATCTCTCTCTCTCTCTCTCTATATATATATATATATATAAAGATGGATAAATAAATAAAGTAGCTTGATCTCTCTATATAAAATGTTAAATGTATATAAATGCGATCTAACTGGAACCTTTTATTTATTATTATGTAAATTGTTATATTGTTGAAAAGTGTATTTGTTAAATAGGAATAAGGTTAGAAAGTTTTTAAATTTTAAGGTAAAATTAATGAAATTTGAGAATTTTTTATTCTGATAAAACATGTTAAAAACGATTGATAAATAAGATTAGGTAGATAATACATGAATCCTATATGAGCACGTGGCGAGTGTATTGAAATAAATGGAGTGAAGAAAAGGTGGGCACAATATGATTGCTAAAATTAATAATACGAATCACTAATTGGGTGATTCTTAGCAAGTTCAGTCCTTGATTATGGGGTGTTTGGATAGAAACCAAACTATGGTTTCAGAAGTACTTTTACGGATTACAAAGTAAATATGTGGAGGAGGTTACCTTGTTTTGCGGAAAAGTGATTCTGAAACCTAGGTTTTGGTTTTGCCAAACACCCTATATAATTTAAGTAATTGCTGACTTTTGTTACCAACTCAAAATGGTAGGACTACCACACCTCATTCATGACCCAAGTGGCCACGTAACTTTAATGACCTTCACAACATTATTATCAGAAACCTTTTTCAACTTTTTTCATCAATACAAATAACCCTCTCACCACTCTAATTTTATTTATATAAGGTACACCCTTAGTTTTTTTTTAATCATTCTTAGACTTTCAAACTCTTATTTGGATAAAAATATCCCTCCGTAACGAAATGTTATTTAAACATTTATATTGATAAAAAAGGAATTTTTTATAAAACAAAAAATAATTGTAATACATGTATCTTCAAACTTTTTAGCATGTTATAAAATTTATTAATTTTGATTATATTATAGAATATATAATATTTTTAATTCTCATAAT